AAAAAAAAAAAAAAAGAGTATGTTGTGTAATTTCCTCAGATTTGTGAATTTTCTACATTTCCTTTTGTTATTGATTTCTAACTTCATTGTATTGTGGTTAGAGAAGATAATTTTTACAATGTCTTTTTTAAACTGAGATTTAAATTGTGACCTAACATATTATCTATGCTGGAGAATGTTCCATGTGCACTTGAGAAGAGTGTGTATGTTGTTGTTGGGTAAATTATTCTGCATCTGTCTGTTAGATTTAGTTGGTTTACTGTGCTGTTCAAGTTCTCTATTTCCTTACTTATTTTCTGTTTTATTGTGCTATTCATTATTGAGAGTGGGGAATTAAACTCTCCAACTATTATTTGAACCATTTATTTCTCCTGTAAGTTTTGTCAGTTTTTGCTTCAGATATTTTGATGGTCTGTTATTAGGTTCATAAATGTGTATAATTGTTATGTTTTTCTCGCTGAGATAAAACTTCTATTAGTATATAATGTCCTTCTTTGTCTCTTATAGGCCTTTTAATTTAAAGTTCATTTTGTCTGATATTAGTATAGTTACCCCTATTCTCTTTTGGTCACTATTTGCATGGAAAATATTTTTTCTATTCTTTTACTTTCAACCTGTTTGTGTCTTTTGACCTAAAGTGAGTCTCTTGTAGATAGGATATAGTTAGATCATTAAAAAATCAGTTCTGTGGCTCGGTGCCTGTGGCTCAAGTGGCTAAGGTACCAGCCACATACACCTAAGGTGGGGTGGTTCAAATCCAGCCCGGGCCGCCAAAACAACAATGATGGCTGCAACCAAAAAACAGCCGGGTGTTGTGCCGGGCGCCTGTGGTCTCAGCTACTTGGGAGGCTGAGGCAGGAGACTTGCTTGAGCCCAGGAGTTAGAGGTTGCTGTGAGCTGTGTGATCCCACGACACTCTACCCAGGGGGATAGCTTGAGGCTCTGTCTCAAAAAAAAAAAAAATCAGTTCTGCCAATATATGTCTTTTGATTGGACAGTTAAATCCATTTACAGTTAGGATAATTACTGATAAGGAGGGATTTATTTCTGTTGTTTTCTATTTTTTTACTTTTAATTTTTAAAGTTTCTTTTGGGTTTCTTTCTTTCTTTCTTTCTTTCTTTCTTTTTTTTTTTGGCTGGGGCTGGTTTTTGAACCCACCACCTCTGGTATATGGGGCCGGCCCCTACTCCTTTGAGTCACAGGCACCGCCCTGTTTTTTTTTCTTCCTCTAGTTTTCTTTTCATTTTGCTAGTTGTCTTCTACATGTCTTATAACTTTTGGTCTCTCATTTCCTGCGTTACTGACTTCTTTTATGTTTAGTTGATTTTTTTTTTTTTTTTTGTCTGTTGAGGCATTTTATTTTTAAGTATGTATTACATCCCTAGAAAAAGAATCCCTAGATTTTTCCTTCCTGTGTGTTTTCTTCTTGCTTCTTCATGGTCCATGAATGTGTTTAGTTGATTTTAAATGGTTGAAACTTTTAATTTATCTTCTCTTTTCTTTTGTGTATATTCTATAGTTAATTTTCTTTGTGGTTACCATGGGGATCACATTAATTTAAACTTATGTCAACTTAGCTTCAATAGTATATGAAAACTCTGATCTTGTTCAGTTCCATCCCATTCGTTTTGGTTATTAATGTCACAAAATTATATCTTTACGCTTTGTGTATCTATTATAAAAACTTTTATGCATTAGTCTTTTCAGTCATGTAGAAAACAAAAAGTGGAGTACTTACTTTTGTAGCTATCAATTTACTTACCTTTGCCAAGGATCTTTATTTCTTCATAAGTGTCTGAGTAACTGTCCAGTGTCCTTTCATTTCAATCTGCAGGATTCCCTTTAGCATTTCTTGAAGGGCAGGTCTAGTGGTAACTAACTCCTTCAGTTTCTGTTTATCTGGGAATATCTTTATTTCTCCTTATTTTTGAAGAATAGTTTTGCAGGGATTAGGGTTTCTAGTTGACAGGTTTTTTTTTCTTTAGGACTTTGAATATACAAATCCATTAAGTTCTGGCTTCCAAGGTTTCTGATGAGATGTATGCTTATAATCTTATTAAAGATTAATTGTATGTGATGAGTCACTTCTCTCTTGTTGTCTTCAAGATTCTCTGTTGTTGGTTTTGAATTTTTTATTTTATATTTTATTATTTTTTAAAAGACTAGTTTTTTATTTGACACAGAGCCTCAAGCTGTCACCCTGGGTAGAGTGCTGTGGCATCACAGCTCACAGCAACCTCCGATTCCTGGGCTCAAGCGATTCTCCTGCCTCCGCCTCCCAAGTAGCTGGGACCACAGGCACCTGCCACAACGCCCGGCTATTTTTTTTGGTTGTGGCCGTCATTGTTGTTTGGAGGGCCTAGGCTGGATTTGAACCCTCCAGCTCAGGCATCAGCCACATACACCTAAGGTGGCGGGTTCCAATCCAGCCTGGGCCCTCCAAACAACATGACGGCCACAACCAAAAAAATAGCAGGGTGTTGTGGGGGACGCCTGTGGTCCAAGCTACTTGGGAGGCTAAGGCAGGAGACTCACTTGAGCCCAGGAGTTGGAGGTTGCTGTGAGCTGTGATGCCTCAGCACTCTACCCAGGAGGATAGCTTGAGGCTCTGTCTCAAGAAAAAAAAAAAGACTAGGTTTTGATATGTTTCCCAGGTTGGACTTGAACTCCTAGGCACAAGCAATCCTCCTGCCACAGCCTCCCAGGTAGGGAGGACTAAAGGCATGTACCACCATGCCTGTCTTGTCTTTGGTTTTTGACAGTTAGATTATAATATCCTTTAGTGTCATTCTCTATGAGTTTATTCTATTGGAGTTTGTTGAGTTTCTTAGTTTTGGGGAGGTTTTTTTTGGAGACAGAGTGTCACTTATGTTGCCCTCGGTAGAATCTTCAAGATTCTCCATTGTTGGCTTTGAATTTTTTTTTTTTTTTTT